ACAAAAAATTAAGGAGTTCGTTGATCAAGCATCCAAAAGTTTTGATATCCTATAATCAATAGTCTTATAATACATGTAACTCGTTTAATTAGCAGATAAATATATTGTGTTTCTTAGACAGGCGAAATTCTGGGCGTCTCTTCTAAGCGATGTAAAAATGAATTTAAAAAAATATGTTCTTATCGATTATGTCCAATTAGCACAAGCATAGAAACTTTATCATGTACAGCGGGTTAGTCTGTTTGCTTTAGCAAACCTCTTGCACTTGTATTTATTTTTTTATCACTTGCATGTATTAATAAAGTACCGGTGAATATTCTTCTCGCTTATCACCTGATATGTAAAAACTACGAAATCCCGAGACTGTGACGCGCGTCACGATCTCAAAGTTTAGCACTTTTTTTATATGAAGTATTGTAAGGCATGATTTTTGTAATCTGGTGTGACGGTTATCTCAGTTGCGTAATTGCGTAAGTTAGATCAATTTGTGCGACAATCGATTTCTTTTATCTACCTATCTGCCAAAAAATAAAAAATCACTTCTTATTCGGACAACTTGTGAGACCGTTTTTTAATATACAAATAACCAAATGTCTGGCTCAACTAGCTCAACTACAGGAAGTGAAAAAGTAATTGCTATTTGTCAGGAGATTAACCGACTCGGCTTGGCTCTCGGTGAAGAGGGTTTTCCAACAACAGAGAGAGCTAAATTGCGCGGATTTTTCACCAATAGACCTTGCATCAAATGTTCTCAACACAATTTCAGTTGATAACTATAATGAGAGACTCGCGTACCTGAAAGAATTGTTGCCTGGTATGTTCTCGTATAGAAGTATAAGAATAATCAATAATGTGGCTTAGCTTTTGGCTGTCATATTCGCCAATAATACCGAATACTTACTTATTCTTGTGCTTTTCTTTCCTGCTTCTTATCGTCAAACCCGCTCAAAAAACACATTCGCGTTACCGTAGAGCAACCCGGTGGTGGTAAGTGAGTCGTAATAATTTTGGTCAACGCGAGCGAACGCTATATGGCTTGATAACATCTTCCATTCTCCGCATTTTGTTATCAGCTTCCGTGGAGAATCTCGCAGATGACTTTGGAAAAATGGTATGTTTATTAATGTAATGTATTTGCAATTTCGATACGTTATATTCACAGTTGTTTTTCTAGAGCGTGTCTGATAGCTCTGCCACCTTATTAACGAATTTTATGAATTCTATAAATGGAAACTCGGAAATTATGAAAAAAAATCTGGAAGTTATGAATAAAACCTCGGAATTATTGATACGACTTGATAGAAATAATAATAGGCTTATCCCTGTTCAGGATTATACAGGTGCTTGTTTCCGGATGCAAAATTTTGACAATTCCATTTATTGATCTCATATTTTTGCACACTTCAGGTTCCATGAAACGCGCAAGAGCTTATCGGAATATCTCGTTTGAAAAAGTTACTCAGGAATACTTCCTCTGTAAGACCAAATATATACTTGGTGAATTCGCCAGAAATAAATCAGTCGCTAGCCATCTAAGAAAACCTGTACCAATCGATACAGAGGAAAAAGTTCAGACTTGGTTCGATGACCTGATGGAAGCCCTCCCGACCTTTAAAAAGAAGCTTGTGGTGGTGGACACACATAGAAGGGCATATCTTGATGGATATATGCCAGATTTCTTGAAGAGGATACTATAGGTGATGCCTACGTCCCCACGTTAGTACAAACGATTCTTGAAATAAAAAAAAGAAAGAGTATGAGTGATTTGGCTGATGAAGACAAGGGTCAATTATTAGATTATATGAATATTCTTATTCAGCAACAACCATTACGAGAATATTTTGCGTTATTCCTGTCAGATGGGTTTTACTTTTACGTAATGGCTTTTGATAGGAAAGTTAATCAATACAAAGAGTTTACGACCACTTTCAAGATTGGTTTGCGCCTTTTTTGGGTGTTACTCAATGACGGATCACCTTTTACAAAAATGTCTGGTCCCAAGAGTGTCAACTTCAGTACACCAACTTCAAGAATATGTCTAAAGATGTATTTAGGTACAGGTTTATCGTCAACAGTATATATGATTGACAAAGATGGGGTTCCATCTGCTATAAAGATTTTTAAGCAAGGCTTTAACCCAGATAATGAGGTGAACATTCTAAGGTACTTGAATGAGAAAATGATTCAAAATATTCCGACATACATTGCGCATGATAAAAAATCAATGATTATCACCCCGGTTGGTGAGAAAATCAGTTATCAATTCCGGCAACATCATGCTCTACAGCTCCTTAACCTTTTAAGATGTATTCATAATGAGGAAGTTTTCCATCGGGATGTACGTCCATCCAACATATTATTGGATACTAGCGATAATGTTATACTTGCTGATTGGGGTTCAGCAATCCGCAAACCTTCTAATGAACTAGTGCCCTACGAAGGAACAATTTCATTTGCCTCACCAGATATTTTAAATAACAATCTAGAATCACATCATTCTAAAGCATCTGATGACTTGCACTCCTTCGTACGTACACTGTTCATCCTACATAATCCAAGAGATTTGCCAATTCTTCCTGACGAAGATCTTTCAACAAAAGCACAGTCTGTTATTGGATACTGGAATGATAAACTGGATGGTGAGTTGTGGACGGAAATGGTGAATGGGGCAAGTAATCAAGACTACGATGTATTGAAAAAATGTTGTTATGTTTTCAATCGATAATTAAACATAGCTGATACATATTAAAATATTAATTTAGAGTTAGATATATAGCATTTCGATATTAATTAGTGTAATTGAAAAATATTAGACATTGCATCACGTGCAAAAAATTAAAATAAAGCATACTTGATAAATAATCATGTGACAGAAAGATATTTGGTAAAATTTCTTGCCGAAATTAATTGACATGCTATTTTTTTTCTCTGACTTGATTTGCATTATTTTTTGTGGTCATGTCCAGTCTTTCTATCAATAAAACAATATTCGGGTATGGAAAGTTTTCTGGCAATCATTATTTCGCATATGGGATTTGGGGATATCAAATATGTTGCATCTCAGGTTAAGAAGAATACTAGACAAAATTAAGCGAAAGGTGCTTCACAAGATTTTTCGGTCATATACTACCTGAATTCCGAGATCAGGACACAATGTCCTCTTCTCAAAGTTTAGCACTTTTTTATATATATAGTATTGTAAAGCGTGATTATCATTACGCATATAATAAAGCAATCTATTTTTTACCCACATCTGGACTTTTGTTTTTTAACATATGTGATAAGTGCGCCCAAAAAATAACGGAATGGATATCTGCATAACATGTGACTTTGAAACCGGGATTGAACCGCAGTTTGTACATGGTTTGAGCATTTAGCTTTTTTGGTTGACCAGCCAATTTACAATAAAAGTACTTTCATTTTTTATTTTTCAAGTAGTATTATAATGCACTTACACATGAAAAATACAAAAATTGCTAAACACTATTCTATACTAATGAAAAAAAAATCTTATTCCTGCTATTCATTTGACCTTTCATCATAATTGATGGTAACATTGATTACATTCACATTTTGCGAAAAAGAAGGGATAGTTAGAGTCATGGGTCTGAAGATAGGATTGATGGTGTTAGCGGTATTAATGATATAGAAGAATTTTTGATGGTTTTAGATGATGATGTTTGTGGTCTTAATGATATAGGAGATGATAATGAGGTCGCTTTGCTTAACTTCCTAACGCTCTTATTATGTACTCGTTCGAATGGAAAATCTAGCAAAATTAAAATATATCGATATTAATAAAATTCACTAGCGACTGAGAAGCATCAAATTCTCAAAAGTATAGTTATCAAACTTCAATCAAAATTCGCTAGAGAACTTCTTATAGATTTCCTCTTCTATTAAACTCCTTTTTTTCCTACCCTTTCTATATTTACGGCTTGTCTAATAAAATAATGATAATAAGAATATTATCGGCCAAATTTTTCGTAGAGCTAAGTAAGGATTACTTAATTTATAAGTCTTTTTGAGATGATTGAATTTCTTTTGACAGTCCTCAATAGTGAAATAATTTGTATTCTCTTGCTTGTTTAGCTTCCTAATGACATCTTCCCAAAAGAGACGTTTCTTTTTATTTGGAGTGGAATGGAATTCAGAATTTTTTTCTTTTCTTTTGTTTATAAGGAAGTGAACCTGGACACTATTCCATTCGTTATAAGACATTTTTACATGGTAAGAAATCAATGTGAAAGGGAAGGGAAATTGTTTTATGAGAAAAAAATCGAATAATGTATTAGAGATATTTTAGATGATTGATCAAATAATAATGGTAGCTTAGGTGCTATATAAAATCTGATTAGTCAATCATCTTATGATTTGAGAATCAAGACTTGAGAAACATCTCAGTATCATGATAGTTCCTGAAGAGTGTTATGGAACTGTTAGAGAGCCAGGGTAATTCTTATGATATGATATACATTATGGATTTGAGAATAATTTAGCTATTATATTATCTTAGAACTAATTTAACTGAATTATGACATATCGGAAAAACTCCAGAGATCCACGAACTGATTTATATGTATGTGAATATGCATAGCATCTTCGACTAAATCCTGATATGCTTGTAATCAAATAAAAATGAATCTGATATTTTATTATAAAATACTTGCTACAAACTGCTATAAGACTTTAAACTACTATAAATCGTAAAATAGTTAGAACTAACTACTACTCTGGTTTAAATCCTATAATAGTATAAGTGTTAAACAATCTGCAATATAGCTATAGTAATGAAATACCAGAAATGTGATGTTCTTGTTAAAGATGAATACCATAATTAAGAAGTTGCAACTCGGTAAGTTGCAACTCCTTGTAAATTTATTTTAATATAAAAATTCATAAATAGTTGCAACTCAAAGTGTTGCAACTTAAGTTGCAACTAGTTAAAAATTTTAAAAATAATTACAGGAACCATCTTTAGTTTTCGTGTTCGTTATCCATTTAAGACACTTCTTAAAAATAATCCAAAATACTTTTCTAAGAATGGATTTATCCATATGACTAAAAGGTTTTATAAAGATAGAGAATTTAAAACTGGAAGGCATTCATTTTATATTTATTGCACTGTATGTGATTTCTTAGTATCTATTCGTGAAAATACTATAAAATGTGTGCAAATGATCACCTAAATAAATGTATTTCTAAACAGCTGAAAGGTGTATGGCATCTTTTAATCCTATACGAACGAATACGAAAAACGTGGGAAGAGTATCATTACTTAGTTCTGATGAGATTGATGGAATTTTTATAAATTATTCTGTATATCCACACTGTAGGTTTATACATATAATACGAATTATAAATTTAGATAAGAATTGCTTATTTCATATTTAACAGTGTTGTAAACAGATAAAATGTGATAGGACTTACGTGATATAGATTAGTGATATGCATTTTATGCTTTTAATGGTAAAAAATTTGATTAGAAACTTCCAATCCAAATAATTTTATTAATAAATTATACTTCCAAACCTTCTAAAAGTGCTTCCAAAGGTTCTTCCAATCTTCCATATGCACATCACTGGTATAGATGATCAACAAATCTGACAAATCTGACATATCTGACATTTTTGACATGTCTGACATATATGATATATCTGACATGATCCACAAATAAGATATATTAGACAGATTCGATATATATAATATATCAGACATATTTGACATATATAATATATTAGACATATTAGTTATATCTTTCTATATACTGTATTTTATATAAATAGATAGTTTTTTAGACCATGTTAAAAGCAGGATTTGATAAGTCAGTTTTTCAGTAGTTTTTAAGAGATAAACAGGCCTATCGTATTACATTTTAGTTTAATACTTCATTTCTTTATTTTTTTTTCTTTTCTCTTGTCATATCTTTTATTCTCTTTTTTTCTATTTCCTATTCCATCAATAAATATCTTACTTGAAAATATAATTACTCAATACCTTTTAAACTGTTAATTGTAAAACACTCATATAAACCTTTAACTGAATTTAATTGTAATAATAACTCTGTAAAAACCTTAAGATTACTGTACAATTAAAAAAAAATAACACTCTGATATCTTATCTAACAGTTGTAATTCGCAAGAATTACACGTTAATAGTGCAAAAATTATCTAATGGACTTGAAGAATTTTCAAGTTAAGACCTAAAACATGGGCAAAACGAATTTGGAATATAATAAGAAACAATGGTATTTCTAATAAGAAGTATCTTTGTTAAAGATGGGAACTGTAATTAATATGTTGCAACTTTTAATGTTGCAACTTACGTTGCAATTAGTTTTAACCTAT